GGTACGCGGGGTGGAGCACCGACTCAGCACTCGCTCCGGCGATTCCGCGTGTACTCCACCGCCCCGACGCGAGCGCAGTATGGCCTCCCGGAGCTCCCGTACCCCCTCCCCCCAGCCTCCCCTGCCGCCATTTTCGTAGTTTTTAGCTCCCCGGGGCCTCATCCCACAGTACGGCCGAGGCAAGGCGCGAGAACTACGATGCCCATCATGCCTTGCGCGAGCCCACTCGGCCCACCTCCCCGGAAGAGATGGGAAATGTAGTTGCCTGCGGTTTCTGCGTATTAAGAAACTACAATTCCTGTCAGCCTTTGCACTCGCCTTTCGTTTCTGCCGTCTCCGCCTCCAATTTCGGGGGGGAAGACGGGATATGTAGTTGGCGCGAACGCCTCAGGCGGGACAACAACTACCGGTCCCAGCAGGCCAGGCGCCAGCGTTCCCTCAGGCGGCGCTTGTGTCTTGCCCCGCAGGTCTCTGGGAAGTGCAGTTCGCAAAGGCTGCGAGGGGACGGCGTCGCCGGATGGCTGCTCCCCGTTCCCTCATCCCACACGACGGTCGTTTCAGACGGGGACGGGCAGCAGCTGTGTGGGACGCTGCCTCGCTGGGGGAGATGAGCCCGTCCCGGGCGCTCCCAGGGGCCGCCTGCGCCCGTCGCCACCGGTGCGCCAGCCCGTCCCGCGGGGGTGCGCGGCGGCGCTGAGGAGAGCGGGCCCGGCACGGGGTGTCACCTCGCTGGATTTCCCGCGTCCCGTCTGGAGTCAGGTGAAGACGTACTCGTTTTAGCTTTTATCTATGCAAAACTGCACCTACCTAGTCCTAGAAAGCGTAGGCGCAGAGTGGCAATACAGTGACGTGTGTTGGGTCAGTAAACCTCCCAAATGAAGATTTGTGAGTGCACGTGCTCTCACGTGAGGTGAGAGCGAATGTTCTGTACGTGTTCAGCCGTAAATTGACAGGATGTATTAGAAGTTCCAATTTTGGCAATTCTACAGTACACTTTGACTTGGTTATTATAATTAAAAAAAAAATCCAGTTAAGCCAAATTCAGTAGGACTTGTCAAGTACTGAGGCCCTTGACTGTTAGAACTTATTAAAAAAAAACCCAAAACAAACAAACCCAAAAAACATTACTTAAAATTCAGTATATTTGTAAGAGACGAGGAGGAACAGAGGGGAAGTGAGTAGATTTTGGTTAGTAGGCTGCACATGGCTGTGGCAGCATTTCATCTTGGGAGGTTCAGCGTAAGTGTTTATAACTAGATGGAGCGAGTGCTTGACTGAGTCATCTGCAGCATTATTTATATTAGAACACTGTAGGGCAGGTTATGGAGTTGTTTTGAAAGCAGACAGGCTTAGAACTAAAATGTAAAGATCTCCATTCAGTACAAAATACGATGCAGTTTTGGTTGGAGAACTACGCAAACTCTCCTGAAGTGGCATTTATGTAACATAATCCTGACACAAGAACCAGGTGGTTTCTGGCTGCACACCAGCAGCAACATGTACACCCTTGACAAGCAAAAAATTCTATGTGGCAGGTAATGCATATGTGTTAATGGAAAAATATGCTTCCAACTGATCATATTCAGGGAAAACACTAGTGTACAGGGCAGCACTTATAAAAGTAAGAAAAAAAAAAAATCCCCACTAACACCACAGATAATTTGTTTTGAAAGAAAAAAAAAAAGTGTAATTCACAGTGAAAGACTATAAATTGGAAGTCTTCCCTTCAAGCACCAAGAGCTTACCCTCACCAGAGCCTAAAGAATGAGTTTTAAAGACCTTGTGAAAGCCACTCTCTGGTTATTCTCTGGTGCAGAGTTCCTTTCCAGTTTTCAGACACACATTGCCAGGGCCTCTATTGCTCAAAGCTGAGTATAATTAAGGAAGATTCTCACCTGTGTTACTGTTGTAATATTTAGAGTTTTGTTAAACTTCAAGTAAGTTTCTCAGCTGTGTGTGGCAATCATTCTTCTGTTAAAAAAAATGTATATGCAGTCCCACTGAGGGCTGGGATAGAAGCAGGAATAGGATATGATCCTTTTTTGTCAGGGGAATGGAGGAAGCAGAAGTAAAGCTACAGGAGTAAGAAATAAGTTTCCTAAGCAACTAGTATCATAGGAACACCTCAATATAGCCCTCTCCACTTACTAAAGTTTTTTTTGTTTTGTTTTAAATACTAACCTTTGCTTGTTAGGTGACATTTATTAACCAGTAGGTATCTGATATGTTTCATTTAGTATGGAAACAAGGTAATACCTTTTGGTATTTTGGAACAAAGGAGCTCATGCGTTACTACTGTTGAGTAATAGATAAAAATCCAGTAGAAACCAAGCTTCATGAATTCTGCTGACAGAGTGGCTTGTTATTGTACACTTTTTACCGTCATTATGAGCATTTAATAGCTCAGATTTATAATGACTGCAATGCTGTATTGCAAGCTTGTTTTTTGTTTGAGCCTTAACACAGCCTAAAAGTCAGGAAAGGCTTAACTGGAGGCAGGTGCTATATTTTCAGAGCAATTAAGATTACCAGCACACAGAACATGTAGGCAGCAATTCTTAAATACACTTTGGCATTCCTTAAAAAGGCTTCTTGAAGGTTTTTGAAATGGAGCTTCATTCTGCCAGCTCCTAAAGTACTGAGTTGTGATAATTTTTTTGGGGGGGGAGGGGGTGGTGGTGGTGGTGGTGGTGGTGCAGGGAGTGGGGCCAAATATGTGTTTGATCAGAGGTATGGAAGTGTGTATTACTACTGATTTCAGAGGAAAAGAATTACTTGTGTTACCCAACATTCCTTCTTTCCTTGACAGGTACTTATTCCCTAGGTACTCGCTAGCATATAAACAATTAGTCCACAGAATTTCAGAAGATGCCAGATGTCCGTCAGAGTGTACAGACCTGTTTTGCAGGCTGTGTCGCACATAGGAATTGTGTAAACTCAAACACTAAATTTTTAACAGGGCTAGTAGTTTGTTTTTCCACTTACGAACAGCTGGTACTCAAAACAAAACCTAAGCGGAATCATGATAGTTTTCTGGCAAAATATCTACTGGAATGTAAATGGTCATGTTCTCTTGAGGTTTTAAAGCATTATAAAAGCTTTTCTTGTTTAAATCTTTTGCATCAAAATGTTTAGAATAAATATACTAGCTCTTCATTTAATAAATACTAAAAAGATTTTCTTATTGAGAACCACCCATATAAATCCATCATCACATCATGGCTGACTTAAATTGTCAAAGCACTGCTTAGAAAAGAAGAGGCTGGACCACCTCAGGGTTAACATGTGGGGACTGGGGTGCAGAGAAACTGTCTCCCCCACAGTGACAGTTCTACCCATCCTTGCACTGTCTTCTAGTTCGTTAGACCCTTTGCTGAGTCAGTCTATCTCATTAAATTTAGCTACAGAACAATCCACTTTCTTTTTCCTCCTGGGTTACTGAGATGAATCAGCTCTTAAGAGGTGTTTGACAAATGCCAGAGCTGGTATAAAGTAAGAATGGGGAACAGGACTTCTTTTTTAGTGAGACCAAGCTATTCACATATTAAACTATCTCAAGGTAGCTTCACCACTAGTTTGCAGCCTGTGATAAGTCAACCCTATAGCAATGAAATGGAGGTCCTCATTCATATGATATTAGGAATAGTATTCTGTGCTTTAGTAGTAACTTTCATCCAAGGTTCTCACAAGCACTTTACACCCTAGCAGATATACCTGTGAAATACCAATGTTTTAGTTATGTGAACTGAAGCAGAAAAGAAAGATATATTTCGCTAGAAGGCTTCAAACAGGTTAACAGCTTCAAGCAGTTAACGGCTCACCACCAACTCCATAAAATAGCAGCAGTCTAAGGGGGAAGGAGAGTGGTTTTAGAGTGCTGGGTTATGAGTGAATTGACTCAGTTTACCTTGAGATCAGATAAGTTCCTGAGCTGCTGCAAAATGGGAAAGAAAGCATTTGGCTGATACTGGGAGGAGCAGGAATGGAATAAGACTTCCCTTTCTAGTGTGGTAGCAAGCTGAAATGCAACTGTGAGCCATGCCCTGAAATGTAAAGGTATTCAAATGTGTACATTAATTATGCACTTAAATGAGTAGCCTGATACTTAGAATTGCTTTGAAGTCAGAATGAGCCTTTAAAAACAAAGCCAAAAGAACAAGTTATTTACCTAGGAGGAAGAAAAGACAAGAGCTACAAGGTAAATTATTAAAAGAAAAATATAGGAAACTGCTCAGCTACGAAAGTGCCATTCTAGAAGCATAGCTCTTTATCTAAGGCTTATGCGAAGGAACAATCTCAAAAGACGTTCTAAAAATTAATTCTAGCATTACTTAGAAGAAGCAGGTGGGGTTAAATGAGTCCAGAAAGATTTTGTGGACAATATGAATTAAGGCTGTACCTAAGTACAAGTGATACACCTTTCTTGAAGGAAGGCTGTGTAAGAGTTTTTCTACATACCTTTCATAATATTAATGAGGCCTGACACAGAACTGAAACTACTGAACTAGTTTAAGTTTGATTAGATGCCAGGAGATTATAAATTAATATTCTTAAACTCTGGCAAATTCTCTTTCCAGGTAGTCTGTGGAGATGTAGCTGAGAACTAGAGAACAAAAAACACACTATATTTCAGCATGATGGCTTTTTCAAGAGCCAAGTCTATTCTAAGCTTTGCTGTTGTTCCTGGAAGCATAAGTGAATTATAAAGAGGCTTTTATATTTGCGCAAGACCATGTATAATCCAAACTAAGATATCTTGACCTGGAAACATCTTTTCACTGATTTGTTTGTTCTAACTCTGCTATTTAACAAATACTGTTTCTGACCTATTACTCTCCCTCTGCTGGACACTCACATAATGACTGTATTTGTGTTGTCTTACATTAATGTATTTTAAGCTATTTGATTGGAAGAGAGTAAAAAAAAAGTCTTTGGTTTTCCAAATGTAGCACTATAGCATAAGCTTTCTTCCACAGTCCAGTTGTAGAATTACTCCAAGCTTGCAAAGGGGCATCCTCAAAGGAATTTAGCAACTTAACTCTTACACGTTTCATTGTGGATTGGTGATGAGTGCTTCTGAGCTGGATTCTTCTTTTTGAGGTCTCCAATCTAGAGTTAAAGCCTTTCTTTTGGAGCAGTTAAAGCACATACTGCAGACTTCAAAAAGGGCATAAAATTAATTGTTTTTACTTTAGATAGCGAAAGAAATGCATAGATCCATACACCAAAACACCAGTTTATAATTCTCTGTGTCCGTCTCCTTACCTCTCAAATACTTCATAGGCTCAGCTCATTATTTTCCAAGGTAGTTATGGATCTCTCATTTCTGTATGTATACACAACCTTTCTTTCTCTTGTATATCTCTAGAAATAAAGACTGAAAGGTCTTCTTTTTTACAAGTGCCATCCCTTTTTTTCAGGTGACTTTAATCGGAGGCTCAGAGTTCTCAGCTGTGTGATCTATTGCTTGGTTAGCCTGTTGTTCAGATTTGAAAAATCTGTAAGTTGGGTGCTAGCTAGTTTATTGTTCAAGGTGCCTCTCTTTGAATGAGCAGTCTTTGCAGTTTACTCCTTAGACAGAATTTCTTCTGTGGTTTTGATACCATGAGCCTCCCGACTGAAAAATAGTAGGGGGAGGGTGGTTTAGGTAAGTAGTTTTGCTATCAAAACTGTTTGTTATGTGTGGGGTTTTTTTCTGTCAAAGCTCAAAATAAACAAAGATGGGGGTTTAGGTATGCACATTGTGAAGAATCCATACATAGTTTATGAACCTTATGACAGCTGGAAATCTTGTAAATAGTAGAAGGATTGCTTAATGTGGAAGGAATGTGCTGAGCAAAGAACGCGCATCCAAGGAAGGGAAGAATGAGATCACTTTAACGATGTATACAGTGACTGAGTTAGGATTGGGAAGGTTAGAGGCAGGAGGGAATCTGTTTTGAAGAAAGGCAGAGACTGTGTGGTTATGTGGAAGGTGTGCTGAGCAAAGAACGCGCATCCAAGGAAGGGAAGAATGAGATCACTTTAACGATGTATACAGTGACTGAGTTAGGATTGGGAAGGTTAGAGGCAGGAGGGAATCTGTTTTGAAGAAAGGCAGAGACTGTGTGGTTTTAGAGATCTGAAAGCCAGGTGTAGGATAGGTGGGAGGAGGCATCGTGTCAGTTAAGATACTGAAGCAGCTGAAAATAAATCCTGTTAAGTACAATCCAGACCTCTGTTCAACTGTTCTTATGCTTTCATCTTGATTAGCAACATTTTGATTAGAAAATTAACCTTCTGCTTCGTTAGAGTAAATTTGTTTTCACCTATAAATCTGTTGGATGTGGAAAGTAAATATTAGAAGCCTAAGATACATAGATTCTCTGGAAGAGATAAATGGAAACAGAGGATATTTTTGCTCCCTGTGACCCGAGACAAATTTGAGAATCTCAGGGCTGGGATGCTGACCTGAGCAACAATGGTAACTTTTAAGTGCCAGATCCTCAGGAGATGTTCTTCCACTGGCTGTAAGCTAGTGTTGTTCTGGCAGGAGACAAGTAACAGAGAGAATTTGCAATCCCGGATACCATCAAATTGTTAGTCTTGTAGCTTGATAGAGAAGTAAAGAAATGCAGAAAGAGTGGCTAGCGTTTAAAGTGGGGCTTACAGTATAACGCAGATGCAGAAGGCGAGTCCCCACTATCAAACGGAATTTAGCTATACCTCATGTAATTTTTCTAGATGGTGTTAATAAAGAATGTTTTTGCGAGATAATGAAAATGTTGAACTTAGCACTGAGAATATCAATACAGGGTGTTAATGCAGCGTATGTAACACGCTGTTTATTCACACCCTTTCTTACTGCAGTGACTCCCTGACATGGAGAAGCTCAGCGTTGCCATGTCCACTGTTGGGTTCCATAACATCGCTAGGTCAGATCTCCTGCCTTATACATGTGGTAAGAGTTTTACAACACTTAGGTTTCATATGGAAAGATTTACATGCTGGCTGGCTGTCTGTCTCCAGGGAGCAGACAGCTCCCACTAGAAAAGTAGTTCCATGTGGGATTTTCATGTGCTTTCTTTTCCCCTTCTTAGTTCTCCAGAATTCCAGTTGAGGGAGCATTTTATCCATTAGAGATCCCTTAAGATTTTAGTTTTGGTAATGTCTAAAGCAAAATGGCATTATTGGTATGACAAAAGTATAACTGTATCAATGGATTTTTAAAGCTGTTCTTCTATAGCTAGTTAACATTGTTGCAGAAAATAATTACTTCATTATGAAATGGTGAGAATGAAATAGTGAGCTTGCTTCTAAATAGGACTAATTACTCCAGAATTATTCTGTGCCGGTATTTTTATTCCAGAGAAAGCAATTTGCATGGGGAATTATTCTGGAATAGGGATGGCTAAATCAATTACAATTTCCCTCCTGTCTTGAGAGAGAACACATATTGGCACTGTGATGCTGTACATGGGAATTTCAAATAAAGTAATTGTGTGTTACCTAAACTTGTCCACAAACACTGAATGGCTAGAGAATTTGGTTAAAATTATCAAAAGAAAAATTCTTGTTAGACTTTAGTGTATGCCAAGAACTTCACATCATTCATAGGTGTTCATGAACATTTATTTTTGTTGTAACTCCATTACTTCTGTTGGCATTATACCACTGATTAGTTTTAGTTTTTGTCCATCTGCAAAGTCACTAAAATAATAGTATGTGGAAGATTATTTTTCCAACACAAAATATAAGTGTTTACATTAAGAAATGAAGAAAAAAGTTAAGTTTACGTTCTGTAAGGACTATTGCACCAACATAAAAATGTCACTGGCATGCTAACAAGTATTAGCTTAATCCAAACTTGCTTGCGCAATTATTGTTTTCTGCATTTTCCTTAGTAGTTACATAACTATGTTGGCACATGTGGAACGTCAGACAAATGAAAAGGTATCTTCTTTCCCCAGAGGGTTTATAGTCTATTAACACTGCTTTTCTGTGCTATGCACTTAATCTTTTCCGTAACTTGGTTCCTAGCTAAGTAAACTTCGAACGTAGTAAGGGATACAGAAGTTGTCTGAGATTTAGTTGACAATGTTTATACTATTGTTATTTTAATTACTATTTTTAAGGAACTTTTTTCTCTTCAGTTGTTTTGTTCTTTAATCTTTTTTGGAAATACGAGATGTAGCAACAGCAACATCACTCTTTTCAAAGCAGTGGTCTAATTAAAATGTGCTGAACCAAATAGGCAAGATCTCCATTGTTCTTGATTTTGCACTGTGCCCAAATAACATTAAACAATATCGTGTCTAAAAAGAGCATTGTTCTGTGCAGCTTGTAAAAGTTAATGAACACAATGAATCCTTTAATAACCCCTTCCTTTTGTTTATTAGCAGTGTGTACCCCATTCCTAGAACAGCTTATCTCCTCCCAGCCATACAGTTAAAGCATACACTTAACAAAATATGGATTACTGAAAATAACCATTTCAGAAAGCTTTAACGCTTTTTTAGGAGATAACTGATTGTAAGACTGCTACTCCTTGAAGTGCAGTAAATTTTGGGAAGAAAAAGTGGTGGGTTTTTGTATGTACACTGATATCTCCGATTTTTAGGATTGTTCTGATGAGGTGATTTATAAGGGACTTTTTTCTTTCGATTTTTTCTGTAAATAGCTTTAGAGAATTGGAGAGGACTCAGACCAAGCCTGTACTATAACACTTGACAGTGTAGGTCAGTTGCCTTAGTGAGTGGAAAAAAAAATTACATGTGCTACCCGGAAGAGCTGTGCCAGCACAAAACGACCAATGTAGAAGCAACTATACAGCCAGAAGAATTCCTTTGTCAGCCTAGCTAATGTTGTTTGTGAAGGGAATGTAATAGTCCTAGCAGAAAACCCTCTTTCTCTTGATAAGTGCTATGTAATTATGCCAGCAGAATTTCTGAAGTAGTCAGGCAAAAAAGCTGGCACAAGCATGAACAGAGAAACCCCAAAGCAGCGTCAGAACAAAGCTTTGTTGTTGAAGTTATGTGTGGTAAATAGACCTTAAGCTACTGTTCTGTGAGAGATGAATTTCAATCTTTATGTTTAATTATTGACATAATAGTATCACTTTCTTCGGTTTTCCATTCAGAGTTTTCATTTTATTATTTCAGTGTTGAAACTCAAACTAGCTTTTTTCAAATTAAATAGTGAAAGATAAACTTCTCCTTACCTTTTTCAGGTGACTAAATTCTGTCATATAAGTAATACCGATTTAACACGTTAAAAATGGGTACTGACAAGGATTTCTGCAAGTCTTAGGCTTCTCCAGCTGTTTAAGGAAATCAACAGTCAAATTTGGGTTCATGGCAGGAAATGCTCTGGCTGGATGCTCAGTGCTTGGTATGCCCATATTCTGCCAAAGCGGCGTGTAACTCTAGGTCTTCTGCTCACATGATAGAAGGTTGTAAATCTAGAGTGTGTGTACAGCTCCAAAATAACTACCTCCTGTTCTGTGCTGTGCTGTTACCTACCTGTACTCCCTTCATCAGTAAAAATTATTTGATTTCTTGAAATCCTGTTCAGCAGTTTGATATCCTAGTAGAATTGACAGTATGCTAAAATTATTCTTCTGAACAACAAATAGATGTTTTACTGCTTCCAGATGTAGATTTGAAGTTCAGAGAGGAGTTGTCAGTGGTCGATAATCACATTAGGAGAGCAAAGAAGTATATTTCATGCTGGTCTTTATAAATTGTCCCTGGGTGTCACTCTTGAGTCAGACTGAAACATTTTAGAAGCAAACCTGAGAAAAGGTTTTCCTTTTCTTTTTTCTATTGTTTCTGCAGTTGACACTTTTCTTCTTAAATTTATTTCCCATTACTCTCCGTAATGATGTCAACTCCAGCAGTCCAGCTTAACTTGTCTGAATTACATTATTCTTGGAGGATATCTTGTGGAGTTTTTGAACTTAAGTTACAGTAATGTAACTGCAGAAATACCTCTCTGGCAACACACTGGATTTACAGTTAAATGACTGATTATTATATTTGATAAATCCTTTACTTTGTACAACTCTACTGATTTCTGTCATCCTTTTGGAGCAAAATCAAGTGACAAGGAGAAAGCATTTATTAGTATCAACATGTAACCTCTATGTGGAAAGCCAATTCAAGCCCTGTAAATCCCATAACTGATAAAAAGCTGAAATGTAACTTCACTGGTAAATAAGCCATGTATTTATTATTCCCTAAAGGCAAATATCACTGTAGGAGAACCATCAGTATCCAGTCATCTCAGACATTTTTTTTTGCGTGTGTGCACAGTTACTCATAACAAAATAGTGTGCCACTTAAAGGATTTAATGTGTATTATACAAGGCAGTGGATAAATTATTAACATAACATAACTACAGTTTCTATGTAACAATATCCTTATCTTAAAATCACTTAATGAATTTATTCTTAATGCTGCCGATTTTTGTTTCAATGGTTGGCTGAAGCCAATATTCTTCTTTATAAACAGCTTCTGAATTCAGGTATTACATCTCTCATATTAAAGCCAGCTGGTATAGTACACTTCTCCCAACAAAGTGCTTAAAGGGTTGGGTTTTTTTTTTTAATATTAACTTCCTCCTATCAAAATTATTCAAAAATAAAGGTTGCACAAGAATCTTGTTAAGGTAGAAAATGTCTTCCTTACTCCTGTAGCACATCATTTCCCTAAATCTGTTTTATTGCAAGTGCTGTCACCCATCTACATAATAACTATCAAATACATTTTCTGCGCACTGCACCAAATAATCCTCTGCTGAATGAGTTAACTTTTTCTGGCACGGTTTGACACTTGTTTTAGAGAGTGAACAACACAGTGTTTTACTGAATAGAAAAACAGTTATGTTGGATTAATTTCTGTTTTGAGAAAAAATATTTGTAGTATGCTTTTTAGAAGCATGGGCAGATAAGAAATGGTCCCCCAAAATGTAATTTCAAAACTGCTCTATAAATACTTGTCTTTAGAAGTTCTGGGGAATCTCATGTAGTCAGTGAAAACAGCGGGTGAACCACAGGACATAGATTTTGAAATAATGTGTTTTAGATGTGTAGCAAGGTCTGTCACTGGGAATCATTGCTTATCGAGATCTTCTGATTATATGCTTGCTTTCAGACCCTTGAGAAGTAGGACTTTTGAATGTTAGGATGTGCAGAAAACAAAGGCAACAGGCCACGACAACTGTAATTCCTCATAGTTTTTCTACCATTTGTTGCCTCTGTTTTGTCATTACATACATCAATAAAACTATATATAGCTAAGGAGAAAAGACTGTGACTTGTATGGTGGTTGGAATGACACATTAGATACCCTTTACTATCATTGCTCCCCAGTTTTCCATGTGTGAAAAATGTATTGCTTAATAATCAAGGGTTTGTGTTTTGGGGCACATCTATCAAAAAAATTCGTTTAAAGGCTGTAAGCTTTGGGAAATAGTAGTCCAACCATAGGAGGAAAATTATCATTATAAGAGACAGCTGTATTCTTCAGAGCTCTGATGAAATGAGCTGTATTTAGCCTTTTACTTGAGGGGAGGTTCCCTAGAATTTGACTGAAAAGATGAGACTTCTTTGTACTTACTTCTGTGTCTTATGATAAATGTGTTTGAACTCTAGCCACATAGGAAAACTGTTTCTGGCCAACTGGTTATAGAGAGTGTAAGCGTATCTGCTTACGATATCTTATGATCCCATATACACAGTCTCAAATGATTAGACACAAATTAATTTCTACTGTACTTAGAGTTTGACAGGACTTTTAAAATGAAGGCATTGGTGCATTAGTTCACCAAATTTGTACTTCCGTGGTGGACTTAGTTTCACATCCCCACTAGGTAATCAGCTGTTTATCTTTTTTTTCTATTCTGTTTCTGGCCTTTTTTTCCAGGCCCTAGGGAGTAAAACTCTATGAACTGACTGGATTAACAAATTAAAGCTGCTTGCCATGTGGTCAGGTAAGCCCTAGAGCCCTTCCTGGTGCTTCAGCATACTGTAGAGTGAAGAGCAGGACTATCCCTTTCACTAACACCAAGACATTTAATCAGCTTAGCTGTATATAACCTAACCACATCTTTGGTGACCTACAGACCAGTCTTACTAATTAGACATGAATTGTCTTTGTGCCAAAATAGTCTGATTTAGAATATATCTCATTACATTTGAGTGACAAAATATTTTAGGAATCACAATATTAACATTTCTGCATATCATACAGTGGCTGTATTAAAGTACAATGACAGCATGCTATTTTGGAGAGAGATGTATTTTGCGTACACAAGAAAAGCCATTGCCAATAAGTAAAAACAGATGGACTTCTGGACTAGGAAAACAGAGGAAAGAATTTAACAGAAAAAAATAAAGTAGTAGTGAAGACTATAATAATACTACCCACAATAGGAGTTATATCCTGTAGTTCCTTTCATTGTTAATTGTCTCACAAAGTAATGTCAAGTCTTACACTTCTCTCTCTAATATTTTTCTGAGAAGTCTTATATTTGGGTTACATCTACTGGGTTGCATCTCTACCTCAAGGTGAACCTACTTGAGTAGCATCAATAGATCATCTTAAAAATGTTCCACATAACAGCACTGAGTATGCTTTGAGAATCTTGTTTTTTTTTTTTAAATATTATTACCTGGTCTATGCAATTTCTTCCGAACTACTGTCAGTGTTGCTCTGTCAAAACATGTGCAGAGGGTTATGGAAAGGGGAAGAATGTGCATTGCCTGGAGGACATAAGACTGTACAAAGTTACCATCGTCTACTTGCTTCCACTACCCCTCTGAACTGCTTTGTATTACTAGTGACACCCTCAGTAAGAGCAGCAGCTATGGGTTCTTTTTACTGAACACATCAAGACTTCAGTTACTTTTCCACAAATGTTAGCTTCTTAATCTGCTTGAAAAAAGCAATGTTGATTTAATCACGTGTTTCAAACTTAGAAATAGAGTGTATCTTACACCTCACTGAAATGGTATTCCTTTTTTTTTTTTTTTTTTTTTTCAGATCATCCAGAAAGATACTATGATCTGGAAAGGAAAACATAGGTCCACATCATGAACTTACTCTTTGTTTCATCAGGCCATCCTACACAAATTCAGACCAGTCCAGGCTACCTTAGACTTATGTGAGTTATTTAAGACAGTTGTTTGAAAAATTCTTGAGCAGTGTTTTGGGAGCCATCTGGTTTTCTAGAAAAGATTCATCACATCTGTTGCATAATAGTATCTTTTGGAATGTATCTTTTCTGTAAATTATCAATGATGTATTTTTCTTTGCTTTAGTAGAGCACAGAAGCCTCAAGTTTGATTTCAGACTTCCTTTTGAACCTCAGAAGAATCTGAGCTATAAAACTGGTCATCTTTCCAGAAGGTTCTTTAAGGGTGTCACTTTACATTTCAGAAGTGAAATTTATAAGTTTCAGGGATGAAACCATGTCTGCATCAACTGCACCAGAGAAAGTATTCTTACTGTCGAGCCTTAATTTAAATAGTTGTTGTGTTGACGACTTCAGTAGATTTTCCCTGGAATTTAGAAATCATATTTGGGTACAGCAATGGTGGGCATAGAGAAGCAATGTTATAAGCAGTGTGTATACCCATTCTAGACATACCTTATTATTTCTTTTGTTGCTTTTAGATCAACATTTCTCTCTTTAAGCCCATTCTTCACAGTTTTTATGAATAGTACCATATCATATCAAATAGGTATCAGTTGTAGGATACATTACAGTAATAAGTAGAGCAGGAGTGTATAACAAAGTTCAACAAAGACAAATGCAAGGTCTTGCACCTGGGAAAACATAATCCAGGAGTGCAGCACAGGCTGGGATCTACCTGGATGGGGAGCAGCTCTGTGGAAAAGGACCCGGGGGTCCTGGTGGATAGCAAGCTCAATATGACTGAAGTGTGCTGCTGTGGCGAAGAAAGTCAACAGGATGCTGGGTTGCATCAACAAGGGCATCACCAGCAGAGATGAAGTCATTATCCCACTCTACTCAGTGTTTGTCAGGCCACACCTGGAATACTGTGTTCAGTTTTGGTCCCCGCTATACAAAAAAGATGTGGACAGGCTGGAGAGGGTCCAGAGAAGGGCCACAAAGATGATCAAAGGA